AAAGCCTCTACGTAGCCGTGGCTGCCTGTCAGATGCTGCTGACTGACGGCTCTGCCTCTCTCGGGCAGTCGAGCCCTATCCGTGCCATATTTCTCAACTAGTGCCTGATGTTCGGGGACCTCAGAGGTTGCATAAAGTTTAATAAATAGTGCTGATGGGTTAATTGTAGCTTGCAGGCTCAGTTGTTGATTAGAGTCATATGGTGTTTTTCCAGTACATTGCAACCTTAATTTCAACATCCTTGTTTCAAATAACCACAACAGATTATGTATCCAGTCTCTTTATTTATTTGTGGTCCTCTGCCCCTGAAATGAACTGCTGTTTTAGGAAAGGAAACACAATAACTTTTGTATGCCATTTGGGGGTGCCTACATTTACATGTTTCCCAGTTGCACTAATGAGGAAACCAATAAATTAGTAATGGAAGGTGAACCCTGTGTCAAGCCACAGATGTAAGATTACTGGATGTCATTCATCACGTAAACCAGTTAGGCTGGAATAAGAGTGATTCCTATTCTCTTGATATTGTTTTGGTTTTAGAATTTCTGTCCAAAATAAACCTGCTATTAATAAAATAACAAAAGCAGTAAGAAAATGCTTTTAAAATTCATGATTCACTGTCTTAAAGGGAGCAGAGTGTGAAGGAAATGCATTTTCTCCAATATACAGTGTAGCCTTTAACATGGCTGCGGTTTCCCCTCTCCTCTTTTACAGGTGAAAGAATAATCGTTACATACATCAATAAACTTCTATATTACACCTTCACCAATTAGACCTACTTTTATGCCCTAGATGCGAGTTTCTTATCCCTTAATAATGAACACCATTTATCAAATATGAGGCGTTTTCTTAAAATTGGTGTTTGTATTTCATTGGTTTTGCTCTTTGCTTTACTCTGTCTTTACAGTGCCCAGGAAGGTGGTGTTTTTCCATTATTAGTTTTATTTATTTCCTTCCTCTACATGCAATATTTTACTTTAGATGCTGCAGTTGGCATGTTACAGCCAAAAAGGTTTCATGGGTTTCTTAAGAACCATAAGAAAGTTTAATTGTAGGCTTTGTGCAAGAAGTACCACCTTTAATTCGGTTCTGAACTTCCCATCAGATCTACCTGACAGCGCCCTCCTGACTTAAAAATATAGATTTTCACGTAGCGTTACTTTCAGCAAATCTTACATATGTTTGAAGAAATGTTTTCATCTCTAAACGTAAATTATATAAAAGCCAAGCATGTTGATGAATTAGTGTGTTCTGACTCAAATAAGGAATATGCAGCTCTTTTTTAGGAGGGTAGCTAAAGATTTATGTCTTAATGGCTAAGCAAATATTTGAAAGCAAGTTTTAAGAAATGAAACAAGTGTTTATGAGCAAATCTGGTTTACTCAAGTCTGTTATGTTTGCTGTTGAGTTCTCTGTGTGCGTTTTCTTTTTTTTTAACAGTTATGGAAACGTATCCCCTTCTCTAAGAGATGCGATACAGAACTTGAACAGAGCGGCAGCTGCTGTTCGGTCTCTCCCCCACATCCCAGCCATGTTATTTTCCACAGCAGTGGGAGACCACAGTTTTTTAATTCATCAGACGGGGGCAGAGCACATGTTGTCTCATTTGTGTTTTTCCGGAGTCTGTAAGGAGGTAAAAACTACAAGTGTCAGGACCAGGTGGTGACACAAGTTCACCTCATTTTTGGCAGTTTTAAGTGTACGAGAACAAAATCCCATTTTACTTTGGTCGGTGTTCCAGGGGCAGTTTTTAGAGGGGGAGTTTGCCCACTGCTGTGTGTGCTGGTTTTCACCGAGCGCAGAGCAGTGAGCAGCAGGAATATGTTCTTCAGGTGTAAACTAGTTTCCTATAAGTAGTCTCTGCTGTTTTTTGTCACAATATTATTAAATAGCACCATGACCTGTTAGAGAAATAGATTGAGTGTGGTTTCTTAACAGTGAGCAAAAAGAGAAACTGCTGTTATGTGGGCAGCTAGAAATCCTCTTTGGGGCCTGGTTTGGGCTATTATCTGAGGATAAATTATGGGCAGTAACTTTGGAAAAAGTCCCTATATTCAAGTAGATGTTATTCTGTCTCATGAGGAAAACAGATAAGACAGTTTTCCCTTTGTGGATAAGGATTTTGATGTAAAACCTGTAAGACCCGAGATGGAAGTCCTCACTGACGATATTGTTTACTCTGAACTTGGTTGCTGAAGGCTGTCAAGAACAAATGGCTTTGAGCTGCGTATTGATGCTCAAAAGAGCAACTCAATACTCTCTTCCTTGGAGAGCAGGTCAGGGATGCCACCCCCAAGTGAAAGGATTGCGCTGGATGGCTGGAAGTCTCAGAGTTTGCCTTGGCAGCCATGCTAAGAAGAGCTGCTGTGGCTATTGTCTGAGCATATTTCTGCATCTGAAAAATTAACCCTGGAGAGGGGAATGGGATCAGAGATGTGTCCAAGAAGTGTACGGCTAGTTGGGAATTTGGGGTGGTCCTGCTGCATGTCTTCATTGCTCTGTTGTGCTGCGTGGTGTGTAGGACCTCCCCAGGCTCCTTACAGCTGATCATAGGATCATAGAATAGTTTGGGTTGGAAGGGACCTTAAAGACCACCTAGGTCCAACCCCCCTGCCGTGGGCAGGGACACCTTCCACTAGACCAGGTTGCTCAAAGCCCCATCCAGCCTGGCCTTGAACACTTCCAGGGATGGGGCAGCCACAACTTCTCTGGGCAACCTGTTCCAGTGCCTCACCACCCTCACAGTGAAGAAT